ATACGAAGTGTCACACTACATTACTCGACTTCACGAGTATGTAGAAAGTCACTTCGCCTCGATTAACGTCACTTCGACACATCGTCCGAAGAACTTCGATCTGGAGTGTAGACGGCGTTAAATATAATAATTGTTTTTATCTAATCCTAAAATACAGTAACGATTATAATATTAATTTAGTTCATTTTTTAACCATGTTTTAGCACATGTAAACTTATTAAATGTAAACGTTTATTAAGAAACAGATTGACTCCCGTGGGACATGGTAGATAGCTCAGTTAGTTAGAGCATAGGCACAGATCGCTTAGATTGTGGGCTCAAACCCCACCTGGTGTCCTGTTGTTTTGACATTTATTAATTTGGTTGGTCTTTATTGGTCTACTATGCTACGTTGTTCTAAGATCTAAAGAAACGTTTACTAAATAGTAATAGGCTAATCGGTAACTGCGACACTTGCAAGACACTTGCTGCAAGACCAAGACTGTCTAAGTCTACTCTTGTTCTTGCATTTGGCAACACTACTATATACCAACGGATTAGCTGTTGTCGACTTTGGTGGTGATACCTAAAAAGCAAATCCGAAAAAATTTAGTGACTACCGAACCATAAATTTGAAGAGCCCTGTTTTAAAATTATTTCTTAGACACACAGTTTGGGTTACGACACTATAACCTTGGAATCAGAGAAGCACTATTTACTATTCAGGTTATAGTATAAAGGGAGTTAGACAGAGCTGAATTTTGGTCGCCACGAATATTTAATATCTGTTCAGAGTTTGTTTTCAATAAAGCATTAGATAGTGTTCAATTGTGGTATCAAAATTATTCATGTAAATATTGATATAATTTTAAAAACCTCAACATTTGAATAATATGATTACCACAACATGTAATGAACATGGATATGGACTAAAACTAAACTACACCAAAAATATAAAGGTGATGGTTGTCAGCAAACTGCAAACTTCTAAATAAGAACTGGGAATGAGCTAAGAAATTATAATAGTATGGAGAAGGTCATAGCTGCATTCTTTAAGATGAAAAAATTCTTATGTGCAAATGAGACTAAAAATTAGATTAGTAAGATGTTATTTGTTCTCTATTCTTTTATATGGTGTCAAAGGTTGGACTTTAACGGACATACTTCTCAAAAAACTCGTAACGAGGTTGTTTTGCAGCGGATGAGAAAGTTACGAAAGTGGTTAGAACAGTTAAAAATCGCAAACTGGAATATTTTGGCCATTTTATGCACCATCCAAATAGATAATTTATTTAATAATCGTAGGCAAAATATACGGAAGAAAAGAAATTGGTCGAATATGAACGTCATGGCTTAGAAACCTGAGGGAATATGCTTGTAGAAATCCAGATTATTTTTCAAGAATAGGTGTTATTTTTTTTTAATTTTCAGGTAATTATTGTATGATATTTAATATGTAATAATGAAGAAGCAATAAATAGGTATTAAATTTAAGAATTTAAGCAGAATTTGGCCATCTAATGGTCTAAAACTAAATTAATGGCTGAGTATAAGAAAAGAAATATAGAATGCAAATTTATTTTGTTAATTAGAAATATAAAAAGCCTTTGTCCTTCATGGTCTGCTAAACAGCGCAAATATCGTAAATAAAAGTTATAAATTGTATAGTTTTAACAGGCACCCGCATACTGGTTCTGGACTTTACATATTTTAATTAGATGCCACTAAAAGAGTTCACAAATTCGCTTATTTAAGAATTGTTATCAACTTGCCCACATGCAAAAATAAAACAGAATTTCAACTTTGCATATGCTAGAAAAAATCCATACTGAGTACTACAAAGTTTAATTCAAGCCAAGAAGAAAGAAATGTTAAAAATTAATTTACATGACAGAAGATTGATGTAAACAATCGTGCATACATTTTCCTGATCTATATTCTAAATTATCCTGTTCAATAAGAGGTTTATTCGTATATATCGTGAATATAGGTAAAAACTGTGGAGAACTACCGAACAATTAGTCTCATGAACCATCTCCTTTTATTCTTGAAAATCAAACACACATGAATATAAACTAATACAAACACTATTTGCTATCCAAGTACTGTTCCAACGCTGCAGAGATGTCAATAGAGACATACGTACATGCTTTATAGATTACAAAAAGACATTCGGCTGCGTTTGAAATGAAAATTTATAAGAAATTCTTAAAAGAGTACGCGTACCAGATCCAGAGCTTAAAATCATTTTACATCTGCACTGGAAATAACTATAGATGGAAAATTGTCAAAAACTACGGCGGATTACATCCAGGGAGGGTATATTTTATCACTTATCACGCTTTGAGGAAATATTCGCTTAGGTACTAGATGAGATGGATGAAGGTATTTTAGTAAAAGTAGTATGACTTCTATGGAGCATAAGCATGGACACTGACAGAGATATCAGTTAAGAAGCTTTTGACATTTGAAATGTTGCTGTCTTTTGTATTTTGAAGAGCCGTATTTTGAGAATATCTTGGATATACTATATTTTAAACGGGAAAGTACATAGCAGAATGAATACACAACCTGGCTATTGGAGTACTTGAGGACATTTTATGCGAAATAACGAACTTTGTGGATTGTTATAGCTGACTGCAAGGAAAAATAATGAGAAAAGAAGTCCCAGACGCAGTCTCCTGATTTTACGCATATGACTGTGGCATCTGTTTCGAACAGTGGTGGACAATGTACGAGAGGCCATGATGATTGCCAATATCTGAAAGAATCTATCTTTATGTTTCCGGCTACGTAAAGTCTAGGTTTGTCTCAAATGCAGTTATGCATGGAGTATAGAGTGGTGTTGAAACTTTTTTTCTATAAATCAATTCAAGAGTAAAGGATTATCTTGATACATTTATCATATCAGGGATGCTAAAACTTCGTATGACACCTTTTTAACTGGAAACGTTTAGTTTTTAAGATATTCGATTAATATAAATAAATTACGAATAAATTACGAATCTGCAGAAATTTTTATGATCCTGTTCTAGTTACCTAGATATCAACAATAAAAATTAATCAGTTAAAAAAGGGTTGAGACTAGAAGTTGTGTGACGTACTAGCTTAAATATAACTTACATGTTTGATGTAACAAGTCGGGTGATAACTATTCAATTATGGTGTTCAAATATCTACTTCTTCTTTTTATATAAATTTAATATTAACCAATATTAGTTTTGAAGCTATTTTCTTGTGGCATTTTAAATTAATTACTATTTAACTGGGAATAAACCACAATTAAAGATAAAAATACGTTTATTGACGTTTCAATCTCCACTTCGGAAATCGTTCTCAAAATACAAACAGTAAATTAAACAAATTTTATTTTTTGTTACATAGTGAAAAATTCTTCTAATAATTTAATTTTATCTGACTTATTTATATTGACAATTCAGACATACATTATGCATTTTAAAGTAGACGACTTTAAAATTATATTGCAAATATTGTTGAGTTGCGCTCCTGGGATGACTTTACTTATAAGATAGTTCCTTCGATTACATGAAATCAACTTTAACTTGAGAATATCCGTCAGAAAAAAATCATAGCATGTAATTCGTCTTTTAAAAAGACAAACACATGACATGATGACAGTAAAATTCTCCTGTTAGTGATTCCATACCATTCCATTCCATGATTTAAAAAACATAAATAATATATCCTATATATGTTACTGACTTACTAATACTGGTATTTTCTTATTAATAACTTCCTCTTTCAATATTGGTAACCAGATCCAGTAACATTCTGGCGAGGAATTTGCGACACAATTGGTCTCATTTAGCATAATTAGAGCCGCTTCTTTGATTTTGCTTTTTTTACCATCCGTTTCTTTTAGGACTGCATTTGAATTATTCCATTGAACCCTATGTTCATTATCCCATGCGTTTACATATTTGAGGTCTATCAAATTCTCTATTTTTAATATAAGATTGATGTTCACTTATTCTATCATTTAATGGCCTTGATGTTTCACCTAAATAAAACTGATCGCATTCACAAGGTATTTTATAAATGCAATTCTTTGTCCTTTCTTGTTCATTGTTAGGTTAGGTTTTGGAACTAAATGGGATTATGAGGGATAGTATTATGAGGTTTTTTCCTGGTTTTTCCCTCATAATTTATTCTTAAGTTTAAAGTTGATTTCATGTAATCGAATGAACTATCTTATAAGTAAAGTCGTCCCAGGAGCGCAACTCAACAATATTGGCAATATCATTTTAAAGTCGTTTACTTTAAAATGCATAATGTATGTCTGAATTGTCAATATAAATGAGTCAGATAAAATTAAATTATTAGAAGAATTTTTCACTAAGTAACAAAAAAACAAAATTTGTTTAATTTTACTGTTTGTATTTTGGTGGCTTATTCCCAGTTAAATAGTAATTAACCAATATTAGGTTTAATATATAAATAAATAAATTTTCATTGTAGAGCTGAAAATTTGAAATAACAAAAATGAAGAAAGAACAAGAATAACTTGGTATTATTTTAAAATTAATAATTGAAATGGTTTTTTGTTTATAGCTTTGATTATTGTGATTTTTGCTATTTTGTAACAATTTTCCGATTTTTCATTATTTATTAAAAGAAATAAAAGTAAAATTCTGTTGTGAATATCTTTGTTCTCATATAAAAAGTTTTTTTATATGAGAACACACATTTAATATTTGCAGGAATTACTTATAGATTTAATAATACATATATAATAAAGGTAATATTGATTATTATCAAATTTATATATAAAAAAATTAGTGGAATATTCGAACACAGATTATCCAGGTCCAAAAAGCCAAAGTTTCCAATTTCTAATTTAAAAATTGTGTTAATTGTCAATCGTGTTAACGGTTATGCTATGGGGTTAACGATTTGTCCTCACTGCCAACAAATTATTTTTAAACACGTTCCAAAAATATCCTCTTTTAAGAAAAATATTATTTTCATTTTTAATTAATTAATTTTCGTTTTATTTTTAGGTACCATACCGTTATTTGTTGGCGGTACGTCAATGGTATGGATGTCTCCAGTGCTGCCAACTCTTTTATCAAATGACACCGATCTCAATCCTTTAAATAAACCTATAACGACTGTTGAAATATCCCTGCTGGCAGCGTTGCCTTGTCTGATAGGCCTCATAGGATGTTTGATTATTCCAAAATTTGCCGATTTCATCGGAAGAAAATATTTTTTGTTACTAATGGGCGCGGGAATGTTTATAACTTATCTAGGAAAAGGATTTGCCCACCACGTTGTTCTTTTATTAATATACAGGTGTGTGTTTACGGTTTTTCTAAATGGAGTAGCCGTAATATTACAAGTGTATATAGCAGAGGTGTGTGAAGATCACAATAGAGGTAAATTTATGTACCTGAAAAGTATCTTTTACCCCCTCGGAAATTTATATGCTTATGCAATAGGCCCGCACTTCAATTTTAGAGATTTTAACCTATGGTGTGGGCTGCCGATTGTGCCATTTTTAATATTTTTTTGCCTAGCTCCAGAAACACCTGTATATTATTTATCAAAAAATAAAGGAGAAGACTGTAGAAAATCATTAATGAGGCTACGGGGCAATAAAACTTACAAAGAAATCGAAAAAGATTATATTAAAATTGACGAAACATTAAAAATGACAAAAAGCATCACATCTGCAACTCTACTCTCTCTATTTAAAACTAAAGAATCACTGGTTGCAGTTAAATTGACAGTTTTTCTCTCAGCTTTGGGATATGTTTCTGGTGCCACCAGTATCTCAACATTCTTGGGACCTTTGTTAACTCAAGCGGGTACCAGCTATTCTGAAGGTACCATGACAGTTGTGGTTGGTATTACACAAGTCTTGTCTTTATTTTTAACTTCCTTCGTTGTAGAAAGAACGGGAAGAAGGGGACTTTTACTAATTTCTAATTTGGGTTGTTGTTTATGCATATTAATATTTGGTTTATTTTACTACTTAAAAAGTGAAAATTTCGGTATCGTTACCCAGGTACAGTGGTTACCAGTTGCTTGCATTATTGTATATTTTTTGATCTATGCCATTGGTTTAGGTCCTCTACCCATTACTATCATCACAGAACTATTTCCCTCTGACTTGGCATCTGCGGCACTCTCGTTTGCCATAACTGTCATGAGTGTTGTAATATTTATAATAACTTTCCTTTATCCCATTATTGTGGAAAATGCCGGCGTTCACTGGTGCATGTGGATCTACGGCATTAGTGGGATTTTGGGTGGATGGATAGCTTATAAAATTATACCAGAAACGAAAGGGAAAAGTATTATTGATATTCAGGAAATGTTAAAACAGTATTAGTATTAATAAAACTAAAAAATGTTATGTAAGTTTTACTATAGATAGTTTTTAAGTATTTTTATATGCCATATCTAATAAATGTACATAAAGTTAAAAGTGTTTTAATGAATCCTCCACTTACCATAATTTTAAACATAAAAATTAAAATAATAGTCTCATTGTTCTTCTTGTTTAAGATTTTTAAGATCAGTTATAACGTTATTCCGATATAATATTTTTGGGTGTTGGGCTGATAACTATCCCTTCATCTCTTTAGTGTCGTTCAATTCTTCTAGCTAAAATGTTCAGTCTTTCCACACAGACTGATTTGTGACTCTATCCGTCCGTAATACTCTGAAGACATATCTTTAGACCCACATTTCAATGGTCCCTATCGATTTAAGGAGTTCCTTATTTAGTGTCCAGCTTTACACACCCTAAAGTATTACAGGAAATACATAACACCTAACCATTCTGATTCTTAGAGTCAGACAGATACGGTGCTGTCAACAGTTTTTTCAATTCTTTTTTGACCTGGTGAACGCAGATCATGCTTGTTCAATACGTAACGAATTTCTTCTAAATATTTGGTTATTCTTGTTGACAATAGATTTAAGAAAGGGTACCCTCGTTAATATAGGCAAAATGCCCTCACTCCTAGAATTCATTTTTTTATGTTTTTACGTTCTATGTGATTAAAAAATAAGACTCTGCGCAATTTTAAACCTCTACCGCCCACAGAAACGTCATATTTTCGTTTTTATTTTTTTCCATGAATTACAATAAGACGCATGGAGAAACAGCTTAATGATACCAATGTTCAAGAAAGGAGATAAAGAAGACCCCAACAATTATAGATGTATAAATCTACTACACCGCACTTAAGCTTACCATAAAAGTCCTAACCAACAAAATCAATAAAATAAACAACTCTATCAGATACTTTACTTTATCGTGTCCGGACAAGTCATTCATAAAATTTCGGCCCAGTATCGGGCTTCGTCGGTTCCATCTTTTCTCTATGTGTTCTACAAGCGCCTCTGCGTGTTGAGGGTTTTGCAAAACCCGCTGCTCTATATAGATTTGAAAGTGGCGTTGGTTTCATGCACCCCGTTACTACCCTGCATGTCTCATTTAGCGCAGTATCAATTTGTTTGGTGTGGGCAGATCTGCGTCCAAACGGGGTACGCATATTCAGCAGTTGAGAAACACAGTGCCTGTTGCCGTTGTTCTTAAAACGCCAGGACGTGCGCCCCATTTACTTCCCGTTAGCTTTCTGAGTATGCTGTTCCTAGTTGTTACTCTTCCCTCTTGTTTTTATGCAATGTTGTCTGTAGGTGAGGGACCGGTCCAGACTTACTTCAAGATATATAGGTTGGTTTGTGTGTTCTAATGCATGACCATTTCCACACAATTTGGAGTTTTCGCTTGGCTTCCTTTGTGAGAAGGTGGAAAGCGCAGACTTGGGTTTTAGAGGGATTGGGTCTCAGAGAATTCTGCAGGTTCTTTTATAGGCAGTTTCGAGTTTCTCCTCCACTTCTTCAAAACTATTTCCTTGAGCACATATTGCAAGATCGTCAGCATAGAGGAAGTGCTTGGTTTCGGTCGAGTAGGTTGGTCGTTTGTGTATATATTGAAGAGCATTGGTGCTAAAACACTTCCCTGTGGGAGGCCGTTTTTTTGAACTCTCCACCTACTTACTTTACCCTCCAGCATAACGAAAAAACGTCTATTTTGCAGTAAGGAATATACGACCTTTCTCAGATGGTGGTCATTGAGAGTGTCGTATAATTTGCGGAGCATGTTTTGTGCCTTACTGTGTCATAGGCTGCTGTCAGATCTACAAAAGCAGCCCCTGTTATAAGTTTTTCTTTAAAGCCCTCTTCAATGTGTTCTGTTTATGCGAGGACTTGACCGGTGCAAGATTTGCCAGGTCTGAATCCTCCTTGTTGTGGGATGAGGTGCTTGTCGACATTTTTTTCTATTCTGGCGAGTATGAGTTCTCGTATAGTTTAAAAAAGTGACACAATAGCGAAATAGGTCTGTAGCTACTGGGGTCTTCTGGATCCTTTCCTGGTTTAAACAAGGCTATTACTTTAGATTTCCTCCATGATTTTGGAATTTTGCAGGTTTTGCAGCACGTGTTATAAAATTGCAAGATCCAGTTTTTTGCTCCTTGGCCTAAATGCTTTATTTGTTCACTGCATATATCATCCACACCTGCAGCTTTCCCGTTTTTTAACCTGTTCAGACCGTCGTGGAGTTCTTTTAGTGTAAAAGGAGTTCCTAGGTGGTTTGTCTCCGAATCCAGTCTTCTCCTAGTGTTTGGGTCCTTATATCGGTTAGTAGTTCTTCCATTCGTAAGGAGTTGAGTAGCGACTTGGTTTGCTGTAACCTTGCAAGGTGGTTTATGTTCTTTTGGATCACCGCTGAGTTTTTTTACAAGGTTCCATGCTATTTTGCTACTATGTGTCATGTCCATTTTTTCAGGGTCTCAATCTACTTTTCCTGTCTGGCTTGACTTAGCTGTTGGAGTAGTACTGCTCCGCAGTCAACCGTTTCTTGGCTAAAAGGGTCAGTGGAATAGAGGGTTTCGTATGTTCTCATTAGTTCTTTGGACTCGCTGGACATCCCGGGAACATATTGTTGTCTACATCCTCTAGGTATAGTTTTTCTAGACACATTTTTGAGTACCTCTACGAATTTTTCGTAGTTCTCTACTTTTGGTTCAAGGCGTAGTAGTTCAAAAGCTAGCATGTCTGCATACTTTTGCCAGTTTGCCTTTTTGAAGTTAAATCTCTTCTGAATGGAATAGCTTGTGAGTCTGACAATTGGAAAGATATTTATACCAATTGTCTATGCTGAGTTTTTGGTATGGGGCCATATACTACTTTGGTACATCGGTCTTCGAGGTTGTTGCTTGAAAAACAGATATCCGGGTTATATCCTCTTTTCCAAACTTTACTATGAAAAGATGGTGGAAGTTTAGGACCATGGATTAACGTGAGGCCACTCATTTCGGCCCATGCTTCTACTGCGTCTCCATTTTCGTCCGAATCTGCATAGCCCCAGAGTAAACTGTGACTGTTAAAGTCTTCCAGTACAAGCTGATTGGCTTGTGATTGAAAATCTCTATCAGATGAACAACAAGGATTTCAGATCCGGAAGATCCGTATTCGTGCTAAAACAAACCACAGAAAAGGCAGACGTCTTACACCTAGTGTATAAAAGAAACATACCAATCAATATTATACAAACCTTCGAAAGCATCTATCTCCATAATCGAATACAGGCAAAGATAAATGGAAACTAACACAGTGTATACCATTACAAAGCGGAGTCAGACAGGATGAGTCGTTAAGCCCACTTCTCTTTAATATAATAATGAACGAAATAATACAAGCAGTACATAAAAGTCATGGTTACAAAATGGGGAACAAAGAAATCCAAATATTATGTTATGTAGACGACACCGTATTAATCGCCGAGACAGAGGACGAGCTCCAAAGATGCCAAGAAATACCCTATGATAATATCAGCAGAAATGAAAAAGCTTGATGGCTGCAACTTTTTTTTTGAGATGGCTGCAGTACTATTTTTTTTGGTTTGTATATTTAATCACAAAATATATTTCTGATTTTTTCCAAATTTTTCCAAAGATGTGCCACTTCGAAAAAGCAGAGAACTGTTTTTTAAGATATTTTGGGGATTTTCTCCATTGTGTAGGCTTCAAAATAGTTCAAATCAAGGTTTTTTTCATATTTTATGTATAATTTAAAGTAAATGACCCCAAAAAACAATGTTTTTTCAAGCTTTTTAAGGGTTTTGCGGGATTAATCCTATTATTTGAGATCAATAGAACCTGATTCAATAGTCTTTAAGTAATATTTAAAAAATATATGAAAAAGAATAGTTTCAGATCTCAAAGAACCAAATACAACCATCGTGTATGCGAATACCCAAGTTATTAAGCGTTATTCTGGAGTTTTTATTGGATTTGTCCAACTTTTTTACCTTTCTACGTCATTAAGCAGCATGTTTTTAAAATCCATATAAAATAACACGAAACCATGTATTTCTCATATTCACAGAAGCTAGAAATTTCTTGAAACCTGCGAAAAACCCGGTTTTTAAGTGTTTTTGTAGATTTTACTGTCAAAAGGTAAAAAAGAAAAGTAAATTTAGTAAAAACCCCCCAAATCACCCTTGAAAATCTGGTTTTTGCTTAAACGATGGTTGTATTTATATTAAATGATGCAGATGATGTTGTATTAATCGCAGATAACTTACATGATACAGTTTCTATGATGCATTCGCTTAAAAGTCTGTCTGAAAGAGCAGGATTAAAGATAAACTTTGAGAAAACTAAAATTATAACAAATCTCGTAATGAGTGGAAATATAACTATTGACAATAATACCATACAACAAACAGACACTTACAAATATCTGGGGACACTAAATCAAAATAAGCAGAGACAATCAAACACATGAAATACAGAGGCGAATAGGCCTAACATGGGCAGCATTTGGCAAATTAAGCCATATTCTAAAAAGTTCAATTCCCATGTATCTCAAGCGAAAGGTTTATAACCAATGTGTTTTACCTGTACAAACTTATGGAGCAGAGACACTCACGGCAAAAATCTGCGAACAAACTTAGAGTTACACAACGAGCCATGGAACGTGCAATGCTGAACGTGAGCTTTCGAGACCACATAACAAACCAACAAATCAGGCGAAGATCAGGTGTTCAAGACGTCATCGAGAGAACCACGACGCTTAAGTGGAACTGGGCAGGGCACTTAGCCAGAACACAAGATGGACGGTGGACAAGACGTATTATGGAATGGAGGCTCAGAAATTATAAAAGAAGCCGAGGACGACCACCGACTAGATGGACCGATGACATTAAACGTGTAGCGGGAAACTGGCTACAAGCGGCCCAGTGTAGAGAACACTGGAAAGAACTGAGGGAGGCCTATGTCCAGCAGTGATGATGATGATTATGGTTGTATTTGCTTCTTTGATGCCTGAAAACTTTCTTTTTCATATATTTTTTAATATGAATTGAAGACGCGTTGATTAAGGTTGTATCTATTTTGAAATTTTTAAATA